TAGCCTATGTGTTATTCTGATGTATAAGCTATAGCCTATGTGTTATTCTGATGTATAAGCTATATTGTGGTAAAGTTTCATTCAAATCCATTCAGTAGTTTTTACGTGAAAGAGTAACAAACATCCATACATCCATACATACAAACTTTCGCCTTTATAATAGTAGTAGGATTTGTTGACGTTTCAAAAATTGTGGTTCAATTCAAATAAATGCTTAGACTTTGACTTTCACAAAAAACACGTGGCAAATAAGAAAAAGAAAACTTACATCTGCCTTACAAAAAGAATGGTAAAGATCGTTATTTTTAATTAGTTAGATTACTTCCTGAATGTTTGGTCTAGTTTTTATTAAGATTATTTACAAGTATGTAGTAAGAAAATATTATAATGTTCAATAAAAAATCAATAAACGTATTAAATTATCCCATTCATACAAGAAAGAAAAATAATACGTCACTTAAGTCATTCCGAGTCGTTGACGCGATAAGAAAATATGAAATTTTCTCATTTATTCCACTTCTGATCTATTAGTCAGGAAATAAAACAGGTGATGTACATTATTATTATTACACACTACAGTATTACCGCAACAATTCGACTTCTTACTTCACCGAATGCTGTATTCAGAAATAAATACCCGCCATGGCCGCTAGAGTTATAGGTGACTTCCTAACTCATGGTGGGGATAGCGTTAGGCAAATAAGCAGCCAATAATAATATTTAAATCAACATAGATACTTTTAAAATCTACTAAATTACAAATAAATTTAATATTAAGATGATTTATAGACACGCATTTATTAACTAGTACTTAAAATATTTAAGTAGTTAAATAGATTTAAATCTTGTATGACGCAAACGCAATTCACAAGCGATTAACTGCTTTTTAGTCTAGTATTGTTGGTTAGCTGCTCTCCAGTGATTGATATTTAGCCTATACTAATTTTAATTCATAATTAAAAACCGCTATTAGCGTATAACTCCGGTTACCGCCGTGGGATCTGGAGGTGAAGGTGCTCGCGTACGTCTATCGCATGCGCGCGGAGGCATGTTGCACGGGGCAAAACTCTGCTGCCGCGCCAGATCAGTGCTTGGCGGGAAGAGCTCCGGCTTGATCTCATGGCGGAATGGCAACAACGACTGTCGCAAACGCGGGCTGGGCTCGCTGCCATTGCAGCGGTAAGTCCCCTCTTTGAGGAGTGGCTTGAGAGACGCTACGGCGTCCTCACCTACCGCCTGACGCAGGTCCTCACCGGACGTGGAAGTTTCGGCAGGTACCTGTGTCCGATGGAAGATGCAAGAGAAAACGCCCGGGTGTCATCACTGCGGGGACCGCCCTGAGGACACGTTGGAACACACAGTGGGGGAATGCCCTACGTGGGCTGAGCACTGCCGTGCGCTCAGGGAAGTAATCGGCGATGGGCCCAGTGCAGGTTATGACGCGGATCGAGGGGGACTGGGATGCCGTCTCCTCCTTTTGCGAAGTAGTTATACTAGTTAAGGAGGAGGCGGGACGCGTGAGGCAGCGAAGCGCTGCCTCCTCGCAACCCAGCCGTCGCGAAGGACACATCGGGCGTCGGGGATCGCGGGATGATCTTCGGCCACCCTAAGCGCGGGCCTGCGGATAGGGAGCATGTTTGGGTCCACGTCTGACCAGAAACAGACCCGAGCGTACGGCGCGTCGCGTTCGCGTGCGCGATGTCTCAAAGAGCCATCAGACCACCGCTGATAGGGCTCAACAGGGCCGATGCATTACTTATATATATATGTCAAGTTGTTTCATAATGACTTTTCTATCGCATTTAATTGACGAAGAGGAAATAACGCTCATTAAGAAAATATTTCCCAAAGACAAATAAATTTCATTACCTATTCACATCTTTGTCGGGGAATTTAAAATGACCTATAAAAAGACCTAACTGTTATGTGGCCTAATTAAGTCACTTCCGATACCTAATGTTTTAATACTGTTACCACCGAATCAACTCCATAACAATGTATGTTCATAACATAATGTCATCAGACCATCACAGATTCGGAGTCGCGGAGAATCTAACGGTTACCGGGGCTCCGGCTCAACGTGCAGGAAAAGGAACGGGGTGGTTTTTAGTCAGTAAGAGTCTGACGCTCCCTCACCCAGGCGGGAGCAGTCATTCAATGATTTTCACCCCTTAAAAAAAATGGCGTATAACTGCTTTTGTAGTATTTCTTTAAATGACATCGTACATAAAGGCAGTTAAAGACGCTTAGCTGCTCTTTAGTCAAGAATGACTAGATAACGTACTTTTGGTCAAGAAAATTCAGAAACAAATCACTCATTCCTTCGCCGTTAAAGTATGTTAACGTTTTTCTAGAGAAGTATTGTCTTAGCTGCTTTTTAATTAACGAAGTAAGGAAGTTTATGTGGTTTAACTGTTAGGAAATGTTTTGTATCTCTAAAACTATTAATCGTAGAAAAAATGATTCTTAGCTCTTACCAAAAGGTAGAGCATCGAAAGTTACATAAGGCTACATTATAAAGTGAAAAACGACCAATTGCGGCTTAATTGCCTTTTAGTGGCACGCGGTTGACGGACGGCAGATATTCAGTCAATACGAAATCCATGCCTTTGTGTATTAAGCAAGCTATTGCATTGCATGAACAAAGCCACAAAGTAATCCGCTGTAGATCCCTCTTTGATGGTACTATAGAGGACTATAACAACGGATGCAGCTTACTATGCGATGCATTTCTGTTAACCATGTCCTCCACAATTTTGACATCAAAGGAAGGGCATATAGTGTATTAGTTACGTACTAACTTAGGTCACTCGAAGCCGCATTATCTTATTTAGCTTAGTATCGTACTATGGGTGGTTACTCTGGCTCCGTTTCACAAAACAAATCAGTGAACCTTTCAATGAAACATTACACTAGTTGCAGGCCACAGATGGCGCCACTGTTTACCAACAGTTTCGTGTAGCTGAGCGACAATTTAAACATCCCCCGCAAACTTGCACAGTTCTTGCGTCCTCGCAGGAATAATGTGAAAACTTTAACTTCTTTTTACTACTAGCTGACGTTAGAACTGCGTCTAGTTTATTTACATTGCGGTGAACACTTTATGAGGCAATGTCCACGGTAATAGACTTTGATAAAGTAGGTGCTACTTGCTTTTGATTTTATATCATTATTTCATTTTTAGACCTTTACATTTAAATAATGAAATGCTACTCAGTTTTCAGTTATACTTTAATTTGGCGCTATGTCTGTAATTTTTTCAAGTACCTAAGCAACATTTTTGAGGCTGTTTTAAAATTAAGTGGTGTTTGAGTATTTGCGAGTACCTATATTAGAAAGAGATAAAATATGTGTTGTCAATTAAACTCGTAGTACGTGGTACGGAACAGTCAGAATTAAAAATAGAGAAGTAAAGTACCGGACTGCGCTTTTATTTGTGTGACATTTCCAGTTTGCTATTACGAATGTCCGAAACACACCTCAATATTGGAGCTTTGAGTGGTACAGGTACAATTAAAAATATTTTTATGGGGTAGGTCAGCATACTAGCAGATAGAACACCTGTTGGTAAGCTCGCGCCGCCAATGAACACCCGTAGCACCAGAGAAGATACAAGTGCTTTGCGGGCTTTTTCGGCATTAGGAAAGTAGGGATGTGGGTGTTTAGTTAACTCATTCACACGACGAAACATAACATTAGCATTAAATTAAAAGAACCAACAATACAATTAGAATGAGAACAACAAAATTCAGTTTCACTATTTAAACTAATCTAAAGACTGCAAGCGTTTTATAACTCGCTAACTGTACTTTGTTTGTAACAAATGATTTAAGAATAAATGAGAACTCCTGGACGACTGTTGTTTGGATAATTATAAGACAATAATTTATAAAGTTTAATATTCTTTCGTTAGATTTTTGGTGCTGTCATGAGTCGTGGGTACTTATCTAAGTACCTATCTACATCTAGACTTTATAATGAATGTTCATAATAATATACAAGATTGTTTGAGTTTAGATCCAGAAATTAATTTAAAATTTGATTAATTAACCGACTCCAAAAAAGGAGGTTTTCAGGTTGCGCGATTATCTCGCGATTGGCTGAACCGATTTGATGCGGTTTTTAGAAAAATATTTGTTTTACTTTTTTCAGGAAAAGGTTTTACTATACTTACGTATTAATTAACCGACGTAAAAAAATGGGGTTGAAATGGGTCTTCTTTAATGTAGTTTATAAAAAAATATGTGGTACTTGGTAGCATAGTATACAACTTCGATTTTTAATAATACCAAAATGAAATCGATTTTTATTGAAAGGAGAATTGAATACTAGCTTGTTCAGTATCGACTTATTGATAATACTGTATATTATGTATTTTTAAAATTAATTTTCAACTCGAAGAAAATAAAGAAAACAACTGTTGTTAGGCATGACATACTGATTTACGTAGTTATTTTTTGTTTTTATATTTAGAATAATTAAGTAAGTGTAGGTACGTATTTGATGAAGGTCCAGGTAGGTACACTTATTAATTTTTAAGCATTCTTAATAGGTACAGGCTCGCAGTTCTCTGAAGGACCTGTGAAGTAGAACTCATTTATTTAGGTAGGTACTCTATATTCTCTATACAAATTTCTGAAAATGTTCGATAAGAACGTTACAAAGAGGAAATAAAAATATCCTGGAATTACGACTCTTTGTGTTTAATGTTCAACTTCACTCACATATCTATAGTCAGCCATTCAAAGTTCATGCTTATAATTTTTCTTACAAGTAGGAAAATACATAAATTATGGACTCTATTTATTTATATCTCTTAGTATTTTTTATGGAATAAGGCGGTAAACGAGTAGACGGATCACCCGATGGTAAGCAATCCGCGTAGTCTGTGGACATCTGTGCGTTACCAGCCTTTTCGGGATTAGGAATTCAGATTGTTGATAATACAGGTATTGGGGAGACTGGGGAGGAGAGTAATTGGATCTCCGGGAACCTCACACACCCGACGAAACAACGCAAAAGTTATTTCACAACAGTTTTCTGTGAGGCCGTGGTATCACTCCGGTCGAACCGGCGCATTCTTTTCTGCAAGAATGACTTCTCTGCACTTATTGAGTAAAATAGATAACAAAACTCCTTAGAAGTACTGTTATTAATTGATACTATCTTTAGTTTTGAATTACACTACGCAAAAAAACTACATGATAAGGTACTACTTTTTGACTGGGCCCATTTCCCGCTGTGTGTCTGTTAGCCATTCAGCCACTGAGTAATTTGATTCGACTTTAAAATAAATCGATTCTTAAAATTGGTATTCGAATCTCAAATTTGACAGTTACAACACAAACACATGCTATTTTGAACTGAGCGTACTTAGCTACCTACACACATAGATAGTTAAATTGGAATCGTATCAATGGTACCAAATTATTGACGCAGCTTTGAATTATATAAAATCAATCAGCTGTGGCTAATGCTCCATCCATTAAGTGTCTTTCCTGGTAGCGGAATTGTTTATTCGATAGTCATACGTAATTACTAGTATTACGATTACGTTGGGTTCTATGCAGAATATGGGTACTAATACTACTAATTCTACTGAAAGGGTGAGTCTGAGTACTGAATAGAATCCATTTGGAAATAAATATATTCAGCTGTTTTTTTTTTAAGGGGGGAAAATCATCGAATGACTGCTCCCGCCTGGGTGAGGCGGGAGGGAGTGTCAGACTCTTACTGACTAAAAACCACCCCGTTCCTTCTCCTGCACGTCGAGCCGGAGCCCCGGTTACCCGTTAGGTTCGCCGGCGATTAGGAGTACTACAATGTACTATTTTAGTAAAAAGTTGACGTTGTTGTTGAACTTTTAAATTACAGGGTTATGGTGATAGTTTTAACAAGTATAACTGTGTAAACACATACATTACGCTTGTGCAAATATATATTTTATCATCATACTATCCAATATCGAGCTGTAAATCGTAAAAAAATTACGACTTTTTCGCGGGTTACTTCGGAACATAATTACGTTTATAACTGACTTTACAGCAATTATGCTACGATAATCCTATGTAACAGGTAAAAGCCTAACACTGTTCACCGTACCCCTATTGCTGACTCCATCGTGCCTGTTACTGAGAATTCGGAAAACTATACCGACTTTGCGTGATCAGCGATCGAAATATCTCCCTTGAAAACCGCGTTTAATCTTTAAAAGTTCTATTTATTTATTTATTTTTAACCATGGTCGTCCCACTGCTGGGCAAAGTACCTACTCCCTACCCTCCAATTATAAGTATACCCATTGAAAATAGTAGTAATTGAGTTTTGTTCACGTACTCCTTGTCCTATGATTTTATTCGTTTTAAAGTCAAAGTTAAATGGTCGAGTGTCTACAGCTCAACTAAAAACACGTCTTTAAAAGTAATTGCGCTCACGACGATTCGTTTCCTTTTGCATTCAGTTTTCTTTCATTGAAAGAAAAAGAAACCTTGAAAGTGCAAAGTTGAAGAAGTATTTATAATGTAGGTAGATAGTTCAATTTGAAACTAATTATAGTTGCATTATTTAAAGTATTACGTAATTCTTTGTAATTCAACGTTTATCTTATTTTGTATAATCTTAATGTGCTGAGCCCGCGACTTCATCCGCGTGGAATAGTAATCCACAGGTCCTCTCCCATAGTTGATAGCATGATATTATGTAGCCTATATGTTAGTAACCCTACCTACCCGAACCTACAAGTTAGTAATATTCATATTCATGCAAAATTTGAAATAAATCCATGCAGCACTTTTTTAGTTCATCCCAGACATACATACAGACAAACAGACAAAAATTCTAAAAACCATATTTTTGATTTTGGTATCGACTGTATCACGCCCAGAGCATTGTTTTCACTTTCCTACGACTTTATTATATGTATATAGAATATAGATAGATAAATTAATCAAAATTGATCATCATCATCAGTGAGAAGGCATTATGAAGGGTAAGCAAATTTCCAAACAAACAGGTTTTAGTAATTTTGTTGCACGATGGAGAATGAAATTATGAGGTATTATCCCTACTGACCGATTCGAATAGCTATTTTATTTACATTTTATTGTAAATATGTAAACAAAGTTCAGTACATATGTACTAATACCATTTAATGAAGTAAACCAACACATTATCTTTGTGAAAACAATTATTTAGTTCAAACCGAAATTATTTACCACACTTTACCTGATTTTATCAATAAATAAGAGTACTGACGAGTGTGTCAACATAATATGATGCTCGGTTAATTTACATATATGAAAGTGGACGGTGAAATATGAGAAATGTTGACAGCAACGGATTTAGGTCACTTCCTAATGGGATGCTCGTAAACAGGGTTGCCTTAAGTCCCCAATTTCGGGAGATCGCCTTGTTTACCTATGTGAGTAGCTCGCATTCGATAATAGTTAATGTTATGTTATTATTTAGGGACCATGAAAGGAACCTTATAATTTATTTATAATGTCATGTATTTTGTTAAAAGCATGGGTAGCTTGTAAGTAAAGCAATCTATTCTACGTGGTACGTAAATATATTAAGTAAATGACTAACTTAAGTATGTATATATGTGCAACAAGAGACTACCTTGAGTGCTACCTGTTAACTTAAAAATATAACTTCTATGTTACAAAACATCTGTCAAATCTTGATCTTCTGTTTTCAACGTACTGAATATGTTTTTAACACATTTTACTCAAAATACTATAAAAATCTAATAATACTGGTTGAAAAACACGATTTTTTTTCGGTACTGGGTCTCATGTGCATGTGGACTTATATACAGGAAAAAAATCCTACTGTGGGGCAAAGTTTTATATAAAAAATGAAACGTAGTATTTACAATAAGTCTTTTAATGTAAACTAGCTGTTGCCCGCGACTTCATCGACGTAGAGTGACTTCTAGCAGAATTTAGGCTTTTGAATTAGACTTACCAAGGGACATTCCACGGTAACTAAAAATGTCGTCAGATTTCATTCAGTACTTAGGTTATATTTATTGTAAAATGAATTTATTTTCATGACAAAATAAACAATCCCAACAATCAGGTTTTAAGCCGTACATAGGTCGCCTCGTGAGGCTTCAGTGATTAAAACTATTCTATCTCCTCTTCCGGGTTGCAAAACATTTTTGTACCTAATTTCAATCAAATAGATTCAGTGATTTAAAAGATACAGAGTGACGGAATTTTAATTCATATCCCCGTTGCCGTGTGAATTTCGGAATTCGTACAACCGCTTTATGTTGCATCGGCAAACATTTATCTATATAAATGTTTATCCATGTTACGGCTATCCATAGATTTCATTGCTGATCTGAAAGGATCCTTTTTGTTGGCCGTAATATCGCAAAAACGTTAGAAATTATTGAATATTTGCTTCAAAGCATCTCAGGATTATAGCAACGTTACGGTAAATGGAATTTCTTGAGTGATTTGTATCGGTAGCTACTACAGGTTGTTTCTCATTAGTACACAAAAAGTTATACTTATCATATATTGAAAATAATGTATAAGAAAGAAATGTCTACTTACATTAAAATGAATGGCGGGTGGACCGAATTGGATACTTTTGGTTTTTAATTATTTGTGGAAGTCTAAGAAAGGTGGGAGAAAAATTTGAAGCGGTACGAAGCTTTCCTGGTCACCTAGTTATAATTAATTATGACTGCACATTTATATCACATTATTTTTTTGTAAGCCAACTGGTTGGCGAAATGTTTTCTGTAGATAGGTATTAGCTTTCGTAATATTTTTGTAATATAAATTACATAACAGAATATCACGCCTTGTATCCCCAAAGGGGTAGGTAGGCAGGTAAGGTGCACATTATGCCACAGTATATAATGTACCTAATACCCACTTTTCACTATTTATGTTATGAGTCCCATGTAATCGAGGGTGAGTCTATTGCCATATAGCGGGCACAATTCCAGACTCTGTGCTTCTACTGAGATATTTTTACTTTGCCCGACTCGGGAATCGAACCCGAGATCACCTTGGCCGGCAGTTGCACTTGCTTGCACTCGGCCAACGAGGCAGGTAATATAAATTATTAGTACTAAAATATGGAATAGAACTAAGCAATTGTGACAGAGTTTTAGCTTGAATTTCATAAAGGACTTTAATCAAAACTTTGCCAGTGGGAATTGGTGTTAATTTTTTTTTAAAGAAAATCTCATTGTATTGTGATTGTCGTGTCACGCGACAATTTTTCATGAATACAACAGGGACTGTTAATGGGGTACTGTTGTTAATTATCATTATAATGAAACACAGTACTTTTGCAACAGAAACACATTTTAACGAGTTCTTTCTTTTAGTGAATAATCCATTAAATGTTGCTATTTTTCAATTCTATAATTACGTACAAGTACAATGACGTTATTACACATGCTATAAGGAATATTTTGAAAGTACTTATACGCTTTGACATACTAGAATTAGAATGAAAAAAAAAAAAACGAAAATACAAGTCTGGTGTTAATTTTATGTCCTATATTCTTACCAATATTCAACATTCATATGATATTATATAAGTTTG